CCTGCTGCTCTGGGTGTGATTCTTCTGATTCTTGTGGGCTGGATTAAGGTAGGAAGATGCTCTGCAAGGAAAGAATGTTACTGACTTGAGTGATACTCTTAAATCAATGCCCTAGGATAATGTTGGGTGAGTTCTGCTGCTTCCAGACAAACTTGAAAGGCAGCCCTCGGTCTGTGTTCAGGAAAGCTTTCACTGTTCTGATTAGTGTGTTACAGTTTAAAAGACTGCCTGCGTTCAAGACAAGTGTGCCGCGAGTGCCTCTTGCCCAAGAGACAGCCGTGCTTCCCAACGCGTGGGGTGTCGCAGGTTCGAACGGGGCAAACAGAGAGAACACGGAGCAGCCCGAGCTGCAGCCCACGGGGGCAAGGGGTGGTAGGCAGCAGCTGCCCCAGGCCCCTCGCTGCGGGCAGCGCGGGTGTCCTCTGTTGTCACCACACTCCCCGGGGCTGGGCTGGGGGCCCGGGGGGCTGCTGGCAGAGCACTGGCCCTTGGGGGCTGCCAGCGAGCTGGAGCCTGGCGCTGCTGGGAGGGGGAAGCAAAGACAGCTGGGCACCTCTGCTGCGAGCTTTCTTTGCGTGAGACTAAACCCTCTTCCTCGAAAGACGAGGGAGAAGCGTGCTTCTGTGCTGGCTTGGCTGTGTCTGGCTTTTCTGTTCCTGTGACGTCTCTTCCTCACACGCCACGCGTGACCACGTCTGTCCCGTTCTGCTTTGTCTGGGTACATTTGCTTTACCTGCAGGCTGCTGTGTCAGGAGCTCAGCTCTCTCGCGTAGCTGTCCCAGGCAGTAGTTATGCTTTCCAGCTTCTGTGAGATGTCCCAGCTGAACTCACTATGGTTGTTCTCTCTAACTCCAAAGCACCTCCCCAGTAGGAAACCATCTTTAGGCCCTTTCTTCCCCTAATAGGTAAGGAGACTGAGAAGGACAGGGTGGTTGCTGCCCCAAGGACATCAGGAGGAACTAGCTGGATGGAAGGAGAAGAAGGACTCGGGTTAGCTCAGTGCCAATGCTGCTCACCTGTGGACTTTGCTTTTCCCCGAGATATCTTATGTGGTGTGGGACAGCAATGAAGGAAGCGTGGGAATGGCTGTGGCTGATCTGCAAAGAGGGGGCTGTTCCCCAGGGGGTGTTTCTTCACTAGCCCAGTGTTTTCCAGGTCTTTGGAGGTTTTCTACTCCTGACAGCCTTGTGGGCCCAAATGCAAGGATAAGTCACTGGCTTTCCATTCCAGTTGTGACCATACTCATCTCAGATGCAGCTTTAGGCGAGAAGCCTCTGCTGCAGGTGTGGCTGATGCCTTGCTATCCTGGCTTTCCGAGGTGCCATTCCCAGTCTCGACAAGCTGTTTGATTTAGGGGGAATCAGCCTCCTAAACTATCCTCCCTTTTACAGCTGGCTGGAACATCTGGGCTGCAAGCAACAGGGAATTGTCAGATAGATGATTTTTTTTCTTTCTTTCTTTCTTTCTCTCCCAACCCTGGCCCTGAATGCCTGGTGGGGGAGCAAACTCCTCCATCTGTCTGCAAACCCCCTAGGTGGGTAATAATAGAGGCTTCATATAGGAAAAAATCCATTAGATTTGACAAGAGATGTATGCTAGTACTTCCTTGCCAGGCCCTGTCTCATCTGCGAGAGGCTTGCTGTAGAAGCCATTATGAAAAGAAAAACCCCTTTTAATTATAACAGCCAGGACTGGCTGTGCTGGGCTTTGTAGAAAAGAAAATTACGGTGGGATCTTGTACAGCTGCAGCCACCAAGATGCAACTGGCTACCCAGGACATCGGACGCCAGCTGCTGAGAGCAGGAAAGGGCTGTGTGGATGGAGTGCGGCATCTGGGGCTTCTCTTGGTGCCTCTGCGTGTTAAAGCTGCCAGGGTAAGACGTGCGTTCATACTTGGCCAAAAGTGAGTAGTCCACATCTTAGTCTCTCCAGTTCTCATCATCCAGCTGTTTTGTTCCAGCATGGGGTGTTTCAGAGGATGTTCCCATTCTTTGCTCGGTGTAGCTCACTGCTAAGCCCAGCAGTGATCTGCCCCAGAGCCGGCCGTGGTGCGCTGTGGGTTTGATGTGCGAAGGAAATAGGAGCCCTTTCTACAGCTCTCGTGGCCACGTTCAGGACTGGGAGGAGACCCTTCTGTGCGGTTTTGTTCTTTTCTTCAGTGTGAATGTTCCAGCAACATTCAATTATTGTGTTTTAATGCTGGGATTTCTAAATACTCTGAGTCTGGGTGATGAGATTATCTGTTACAAGTTACTTGGGGACAGACCTCGTTCTGTCTGCGCAGCACAGATGTCTGCACTGGTCATCAATGTTCCCCAAAGCTGCTGTGCAGTATCACACAGCTGCTTGCTGGGGTTGGCACGGTAAAAAGCAGGAGGAATTCCCCTTGAAGCTGTGTGTGATAGAGCCCTTCAGAGGCTGGGAGCTTTAATACATCCAAACCCTTTTGTCACAGTTGCACTGACTTTCTGTAATGCTATGAAATTGCATCGTCTCAATTTCCTTGAAGCCTGTAACACGTGAGAACTCATTAACCTCCTGTACTCTGCTCATCTCAGACAGATGAGCGACATCGTCATGGATTTAGATGTATGTGTATGGTGCAGATTTCGGTGTGTTCAGACTTCTGGTATCAAAACTCAAAAGGCATTTGGAACAAAGTATTTATAATGCAAGCAAGACTGTTTTTCCCCCAAGTACCTAGGCACTCACTTGCACTGGGACTCTAGCACTGATGTGGCTGAACGCAAGCAGCAGCCGCTCCCCCGGGGCCAGCAGCAGCTTTTGGAAGCAGCTCCATGGAGCAGAGGTAGCTATGCTCTGCAGTGAAGCTGCAAGGCACTGCGTGCCTTGGAAAGCACCATCTGGAAGCAAGTGGGAAGGCCAGGACAGCTTTGCAGGATGCCCCTGGCCAATGTGAACATGAGGGGAAAGTGTGGAGGGGGAAAGCCCCCTGGCAGCTGCATCCGTCGTTAACAGAGCTGCTGGGGAGGCCGTGTGCGTTTAGTGGCTCAGCCTAGGTAAGCCTGAAGTGGGGACCATGGCCCTAACCTGTATTTGCAAGGGACACAATATTTCGAAGGTCTAATCCTGCGATATGTCCTGACTGTGAGCTGGCAGCTTAGGAAAGGCTCAGTTTAACCATTGCATCAGGATGTGGGATATCGATCCCCTTGCTGTACTGATTCCTTAGGAACAGGGAGAGGCTTCATTTATTCGGTGGGGCAGAGAGTTGGCAGCAAATTGAATATTAACTAGCAACTTTGTCAGCTGCATTAAAGGCTGCGGTGAATTCTGTGTCAGAACCAAGGCTGAGATCACAGCATAGCTACAGTTACAGATGACCTGGAGGGCATCTGTCAGGGCTAGGCTGTGTAGGAGCCTTCCTGGCCCTCCTCTGTGCCTTGCACAAATTCCCACTATGTTTTAGGTGCACCTTTGCCTGCTGCTGCTCTGCAAACCTGTTGCCCATCAAGTGCGCCCAACAGGTTCAGGCTGCTGGGTTGGGGAACAGAGCATGTACCCCTTTCTGGGAGACTCATGGTATTATACGAGATAGACGGACTCCTGGTTTTTGGATGGGGCTGGTTGACATCACTCCACATAACTGAACAAAAAAAAAGCATGCTTAAGCACAGGACACAAATACCCAGCACACAAGGGAAGATCCACACACAGTTGTGTCATTTTATTGTTTGCCTGGACTCTGGCTTGGCACAGCTGTGGTGCAGAAGGCCGGTGTGCCCTAGGCATCCAGGTGCAGCAGTGCAGAAAGCCCGATGAAGCAGAGCGTGCACAAAGTGACCGGCGCGGAAGCGCTCTCCTTTGGCTACAGGTAATAGTTGTACATGGCGCTTGTAGTAGTGCACTTTGATGCAAAGTGGCGTTCAAGTGTGTATGTGCTGGCAGCCCAGGAAGGGAAGACAGACAGATGGACACAAAAATGTGAGTGCCTACGTCTCTAGGTAACACCAGCTCTACTGAAGAGAGGCTCTTCCAAGAGGATTGCCTAGCAGGGACAGGCTTGGCTCAGGGAAGCTTAAGTGTCTTTGTTCAGGATGGTGGCTCACAGCCCGGAGTGGTATCAAGAGGCACTAGTGGGAGTGCGTATGAAGTGCTGTCTTGTCAGTGAGCACAGAGTGGAGGCAGATGTGTACTTTTTGCAGACAGTTAGTAGGCAAGGAGAACTGAGATCAAGTGGGGCTGTAACAGCAGCTTGCGGCGTGAGGAGTATCTCCTGCCTGCGAAGAGTCATACTGGATGACCAGGGTGCTTGTTCCATGAAGCATGCAGAGGCCAGGGATGGGTAGATGAGTTTGTTTTCATTTGTTCCTGGACCCCTCCCCAGTTTCCTTCCAACCCATTTCCCTGAGTCCTTGTTGTCTCTCCCCCAGCAATTACTCTCAGTTGCCGTCTGCCTGAGGGAGCCAAATGAAGCCCTAGGGTAGGACAGCAGAGAGTTTTCACCTCCCAACACTTCCCTTTATAAATGGATGCTGGGAACAGTGTAAGAGAAAAGGATCCAATCCCTATGGCTTTGCATTATCACTAGCAATTAAGCACTTGGCAGCCAAGCTAGAGCCCCTGTGAGGCAAGCAATGAGATCTGTCATTTATAAATGGGGGAAGCTAAGGTTCCCACTGCAGGTCATGGAAGCAGTTGGTGACAGAGACGTGACAGGGCTCTGGGTTTCCCTGCTATGTTCTCAGGCACAAGGGCTATGCTTTTCTTTCTTCCTCCCCTCCCCCTTCAACTTCCAGAAAATATGCCCAAAGTAGCACTTAAAAATCAAGGGGTGCCCAAGCCTGGGAAGCAGGCAGGAGGGGTGTCTATCTCGGGCTGGGTGCTAGGGGTTAGTGGCTACAGAGAGAAGTAAGGTCTGCAGGATTTCTAGGTGATCTCATGTCTGACGGAGAACATCAGTGCAAGCGGTGAGGTAGAATCTGGTGTGGTGCCTTCACAAACCTATTTGCATTCTTTGATAGCCCCCTTGAGGAAAGATGGATAGTGGCCCCTGGCATCTTGCACGCACATTCATACACGGAAGGGTTGTATGCTCTACAGCCCGGAAGCGGCACCATGCAGAAACCATCCAGGGGCCGTGGGATGCCCTGCGGGATGTCAGCTCTGGCATGCGGGCCCCAGTTCAGCACAGCTATGGCTCCACTGTCACGCTGCTGTTGGTAACACGCACGCCATACCATCCCTTCCAGAATAGTGTGTCCTGGCCACCATGTTCAAAGCGGACAAAGCGGACCCCAGGCCCATAGTTGGAAAAGGTGTGGGAGATCTTTGGGACAAGAGAGAAAACGGTTGTTAGTCAGCATCAAGCCACCACGAAGCTAACCCTTACTGCACAGAGCCTTCAACCCCACTTGCCCGCACCATACCTGCCTGGTTGGGTAACAAGAAAGACACTTTCACTGGGAGTTACTGGGAGAGGCTTTGATCCTGTTCTTGTTCCGAGGCCATTGAACCTCTCCCAGTTGGGCATCTCCTTCATCTTACACCTGCATTAGTGGCTCAGCAGGTTTCCAAGTTTTATGTAAGGTAGCCTTCCAGTATAATCCCTTTGTTCAATCACAGGGTCATGGCTCCATGGAACACATGACAGACCTTCTCCTCCGCCAGGAGAACTCCCCTGCTTCAAAATATTCCCAATTCATGCAGGCTGGGTGTCACCAGCTGAGCCCACAGCTGTACCTCACCTCAGTCCAGCTGGCATCGTTGTCCTGAGGGATGGCAATAGTCTCACTTTTGTACTCAGCCAGAACATCCTCATTTTCCGAGAGCAGCTTCACACAGAGCTCATAGAGGCAGCCGGCATCGCTGCGTGCAGCGTACCTGCAAGGAGATCCAAGCTGCTAGCCTTACCTCTGGGAACTCTGTGAAGAGCCAGAGCGTGCAACTGCATCTTGCTGAATGCAGGCCCTGCCAATCTTGCCAAGTTACTGGGGCTTGAGGTGGGAATATGTGATGGTTCTTACCCCAGCTCCCCACCCTCCCTCATTCACAATGGGAACCTGGTCTTTGGAGGCCTTATGCACCAACAATCTGAATCTTGCAAGAGCTGCCGATGGCCCTGGAACCAAGACCCTGCCCTGTCTGAGATTTTAAGGCCCAGTGCAGGTATATGCCCTCCCTGCCCTTCCTTCTCTCTCTTGACTCTCTGCCTGTCTTCTGAGGCATCCTTGCTACTTACCAGTCTCTTACCACAACTTTAGGCTGGGTTGTATCCATCAGCTCCTCCCAGTAGCCCTCAGCCCTAAGGTCAATGACCTGAGCCTTTCGACACCACCTGAAATGTGAGATGTTAACTGGTATCACAGTCTCTCCTGGGACTGGGGAACCAAAAATGTCCACTTCCCTGAATAAGAGAAGAAAGCAGCCTTACTCGTAAGATGTAACAAAGTATTTATGGACTTCTTCACTAGGGAATTCTTTTCCAAAGTCCCCAGGGAGCTCTTCAATTTTCCAGCCATCACCTCCATTCTCTACCTCTCCCCAGTGCTGCAGGTCTTCTGCAAATGGCAGAAAAGAGACTCAGATGAGTCTTGGTTTCTGTGGGCCTGGAAAACCCAACCTTCCACACTGGAACCTTTCTCTGGCTTGTACAAGGCATGCTGTTAGATGCAGCCCTAATTTTGCATGTAGAATGTGGTTTGTTATGTAGAGGTCAGGCACAAAACTTTAGTTTGGCTGGAATTCATATTAACAAACTCTAACATTCCCCGCCAAAATGCCTGTGTACGTGTGGGTTTATTTATGAAATTACTCAGTGAAACTCTGTAGGTATTCTGGGCTGTGTGTCAGCACTTCCCATGTCATAACATAGGAACAGCCTGGGGAGAGATGGCGATTGCTTTATTTCTAAATTGCTAAGCGGTATTTCCACAAGCAGGGTGTCCCTAAACATGGGGCTTTTCTGGTCTTAGCCAGAAGGAACATGGATGTTGGAAAAGCTTGCAGAAAATCATCTGTAAACAAAATGGAGAGGCTGTGTTGATATTGCTTTGGTCTGTGATGTGTGAAATGTATTTGTTGCTGCTTGGGTTAGGAGGCCTGGTTTCTGCTGCTTATTGCTAAGCATCTTGGACATCTGGCAAGTGAAGTTCACAGATTGTCAGAATAACGGCAAACGGGGTGTGTGCACAGCTCTGTAACATGGGCTGCAGTAAGGAGGGTACAAACAAGATTTCCCTGAGCTGCTTCAAGCAAGGAAGCCCGAAGTGCCTGGTGAGCCAAGGGGAAAGGCTTTCCTGAGCAGGGAGAGGCTTGACCTTTCCTGTCACAGTTTGGCAAGAAGCAATCCGGAAACCCAGATGCCATTACCATTACTGCACTGGACAGGGGTTCAGCAAAGGACGTTTTTGTCTCTCAAATGCAACTCTGGTCCCTGCAGGGGCTTATATAAAGTTGATGTCAAGTAGAGCCCTTTGCAGAGGCTGATTAGCAAAGGCCTTCGTGCCCATTAAGTGATTTGACTGCATGCATTAGGTGATTTGACTTGGGCAAGAAGAAAATGCTACAACATGATAGCAATCAAATCTTTTTTCAAAGACTGGAGATACCCAGTTCCCAGTGACTGGACATCTCTATGAAATCTTGCGGCTTGTTATGCTCGTCTCTCACCTTCACCACATGGGTTCTTGATGAGATTCTTCTTTTTCTTACTGAGGAAGTAGAAGTTTTGCCAGTTTTCAGCATTCTCCTGTGACTCTGCTCCAGTGA